CAAAAGATTTAGGAAAGATACATAAGTGAGGAAGAAGCTCCTGTATATATGAGTATCAGTAGGTCGAAATAAGTACTGTACAAATATGGAGGGTGGGTATCCTGATAATTATGAAAGTCTATGTTAATTCGGAGTTGATCTAGGTTTGATGAAAATTTTCGAATGTCCCTTCTGGGTTTTCAAAATTCTTAAATTAGCCATAATTTTGATATTGATCATTATATTCCTCTTGAAAATATTGAGAGTCATAGTTTTCATGATAAGTAGGTTCTTGATGGTAGGAGTATGATTCTAAAGCTGATCCATTATTAGCAAGTTCTTCGGAAACAAAATTACGTGTTTGACGATTATTGTTAAAGCAGCTGGGTCTATTTACGGGACGATTATTATTATTCAGCCGAACAATGGAAGTAGACATAGGCCTGAAATTTTAGGTATTTAGATTGGAGCCATCAAAATTTTAATTAGCTTGGGGTCTCGATCTAAAAGCTGCGATATTTGTGGGCAAGCGAGAAGCGTTGCTTATTGTAGGTCTGGGCATGTTCACGGGACCAGTTGGGAATCCTGGATGATTCATTAGAGTAGGTTTCCATGAGTGTTAATTCTGGAGTGTAGAAGGGCGTGGCTGCATAAAATTTAGTCTAGGGTTTTGCAAATTTGGTCTTGTTCGAGGAGATTTGATGTTTTTGTTAGCAAAGTCTTTGAAGCTAGATTGCAACTGCAAACTGTCATAGTCGTGACAAGCAGAGTTAGCGACATCCAACCCGTCAATCTTGGGGCGTAACAAAATAGAACGATAGGGTTCGCGCATGCCAATAAGAAATCAATCCAAAGCCATTTTTTATAAAAACCTAGTTTAGAGTTCTGAATAGTGACATCTGGGTATTCCAATTTAGCATGTTCTCGTAGAACATGTACTTTTTTCAAAATGTTATTATAAAAGATAATATAATCAGAAGTTTGTACCAGGATGTTTAATTCGTTGATCAAAATAAAATCATTTCTACGTTCTCTATAACTGTGAATCAAAGTGTTTTTGACTACATCCCAAGTATTGTGATTATCATGTAAAACCAATTCTTTTGCTTCACCTTCTAGTATTGAGACAACGTAGATCAAAGCCTCTTGTTGGAAAGGGAATCGATCAAATGAGATCAAAAATCTTTCGCAATTTTGAATATTTTCAGACATGTTGTTAGTTTCATGTGAAAATCTTAGCCAACTATTTTTTAATGATTCGAATTTAAAACAATAATCGTTCAAATTTGAGGCCATTTCAGGTCCTGTGGAACAGGGGATCAGTCTCAAATTCCTATAACTGCAAAGTGCAAAGTGTCCTTAAAGAATAAGACCATCATGATTCAGATGGTGCTGCTCCCAATCATGACTTACGCAGCAGTAGCTTGGGGCTACGTTTCCAAAACGTTGAACAAGAGGCTCCAGGCTCAACAAAACATAGCACTCCGTGAGACGGTGGACGCACCGTGGTATGTACCTAACAGAGTGCTATATAACGAACTACGATAGGTACCGGTAGTAATCCAGATGAGAGAGGGCCCGAAAGTTCTTTGAAAAGAACGAAAGACATCGAAACGTGCTGATTAAAGACGCCTTGGATTACGGCACAAGAACAATAAGGCGTCATAAAAGACCAAAAAGCCAGCTGCAACAAGAAAAAATTTGGCCCTAGCAGCTGATGAGGCCAAAGAAAAGGGGAGAAGACCGACAATACGTACACACAAGAGGGGAAAGGACAGCCCGTGTACAACGGGTGGACAAAAAGAAGCCTGTCGATTGAGGTGGCCAGAGTCAAGCACGGACTCGAGGCTAACCTCAGGAGACGAAGACAAACAGCAAATGACTGACTGACGACTGACTGACTGTCTCCAGTCGACGAGGAAAGAGCGAGTGCTCACCAACTTTAATGCGGGACTTAGGTCAAAGCCCCCAGCACAGGACCCCCAAGAAAGAGGCCGTCCATAAATGTCGAGAACCGACAGTTGGATGAAACGTCCACAACGTGCTTCCGCGACGCGTGCGCGATCGAGTCAGATTCGGGAAAAAGGGGCAAAATTGGGGAGGGGGAAGCTAGCTCGGCAGCACACACTCGGGAAATGTGCAGCGGCCTGAACCACGCAGCGCTTCGTCAGGCCTTCGGGCGGGAGGAGGAGGAGCAGATTGCTCTTCCCCCCACTCCTCAAGGGTTTGAGGTTGCCTGGAACAGGGGTGGTGGAAGGACCGCACAGGGTAGGAGGGTGTGTGTGTGTGTGACTTATGCTAGTAGCAATATTTCTGCATAGGCCCTCCTGGGATAACGGTGATGGTCAATTCAGTGGACTCAACAGGAAATCTGCTGAAGTGACTCTATACTTGCATTGGACGTCATCTTGTTCTTGTACTAGGCAGGGGTCGGATGAATTTTTGGAGATGAAGTCGTCACTGGTTCTCCCAGCCTTGTATTTTCGAGTTGTTTTGTGGCTTGGCACTTCAAAACTCGCCAGGTTCTTCTTCCTCGTTGAAATGGCAGAACTTCTCAAATGGATGAGCCTTGGGTCACACAAATAGCTCAAACGACACTTGCCTCGGGTTACAGCATCTGGATCTTCAGATAGTCGATTGAGTAGTACTTGGTACCAAACCGACTAGATTACTCTCAAAACTTGAGAAAACAGCAAACCGATTTTCAACGGGAAATTTATACTGTTCGCAGTGCCAATTAAATAAAATAGGCGACAAATCACTTAAAAAATTATTTATTATGATGTTGAAGGTTGTACAGCAAAGTATAAAGTAATCTTATCTCTAAAACTATGCGTACTCATAATGAATCGGTATCCTGAAGGAATTTGTTATGATGGGAAAGTGCCCAAGAACATTTACTTATCAATATAAGGAAGTGTACATAGATATCGTTGACATCATAATTAACAATAACTCATAAGGAAAGTAAATACCCGGAATATACAGGAATGATAGGATGTTTAGTAAATATACGAGGGTGATATAATAATTTATATATCACGGAAAAAGCTGAAAATTGCGTCGTTTCGGATAAATTGATTACGTCATCAAAAAACGCCTGCGACTATGCCCAAATATGCTATCAGACTATTAGAGTATAGCACGGAGAGTTATAGTAATTTAGGTCGAATAACGATAGGATTACATAGTGAGAATATCTCAAAATGCGATACATAGTCTTGTTGATGTATTTGTACCTCATCCATGGAAAAAATTACTTCACTATCACCAGTAGCGAGTCGATCCTTTAACTAAATTATTTGCTTATTTCCAACAAGCTGGTTCCGACTATCAGAGACTGTCAAATACAGTCATCCATACAAATTTTAGTCGACTTACCGCCGCTTGATGCTGTAACGGCGGTGCGCGTGGCCTTCCGTAGTCGATCACTTATCTGGCGGCATCTGAAAATTGCACTAGAAAATTTGACTAAGTATACAGGGAATTCGAAATAATGAAAAACTCAATCTTATGGTCAGCTGCAAAAACCCTTCTAGGTTCCGACCCACCTTCTTGGATTTCACACAACATTAGGTCCCTAAGGCGTATTATCAGTTTCGTGTTCTACTGTATAGTTGTTATTACGTTCTCGGAACTTTCTTGTACTAGAGGCACATAAAGGGAGAACCAAATTTGTTTGACGACTTAAGTTCAATGTGTGCGAGAGAGCAGCCCGAGAAGTGTGTATCCACACAAAGAACCGGCATAAGAGCGAAGGTCATCACCATATTGTTTAGCGTCGATGACGCAATCTACCGGGTTGCAAATAGGTTACACCAGAATATGTTCGCACGGGCTTTTACAATAGGTTAAATTACCGAAGGAGAAGGTTTGACGAACATTTTTTTACATAAAATTAACATATCCTGAGTTATTGTTACATTTTGCGACAGCGATCGTCGGAAAATGTAACAAATACCATTACGCAATACAAATTATCACTGCCTGCGGGTACGCAGGTGAAAACTGTTTCGAAGTAGGACGACACTCCTCAATGAGCGCTAGATGGGTACTGACCAAATCGCTCATCTATGAGCATGGAGGTAGAAACCTTGCTTTGCCAATGTTGGAGAATTTGTGGCGATCCTGACCTCTCATTTTGACCTAAACCTCCAATTAACAGATAACAACCTTTGCAATGATGCCGTTTGTCTGTCCCAGTGTTAACGAGTGCTCTAAGTAGGATGCCTTATGTCGAGTATAATAGCCTCCTTGAGTACCATCACAGCCATCTCCGTGGATGAGGTTGGCATGATCGAAACGATTTATATTTCATATGAGGTGGCTGATGAGCATCGCTTTAACTGTTCAAGAGTGAAATTCCAAATAAAAACTGAAGTGTTTGACCGCTGGTTTGTAAGCACCTTGAATCTGCGGGCGCTGTGACTAAAAATAATTAAATTTAGCTTTTGCGACGCGACGGACGCAAGGCGACGACGCGCAGTGCCGAGCTTGCGACGCAACGGTTGACGCTCGGCGGCTGCTGCGTCTATTTCAGTTTTTGGTTCAGTCTGTGGCGTGCCGAGATGGTCGATCGTAGCCGGCGGCGTCCATTTTAACATCTATAGTAAGTGAACACACACAACTCCTAGCATCGAAGACACGACAATCACAGCCATGGACCCGGAAGCCTTCTTGGACATCGCCAATCAGGTGGTGAAGCTGAAGATGTTCCCCTATTTCGACATCGCGCATTGCACACTGTGCGCTTTGGCTGTTAGAGAGGACCTCGGAAGCGGTAGGTGCTGGTTCATGTGCCACGCGAGAAAGTTGATTTTGATTTCGTTTCGCTTTTTCTACCGCATGTGCGGCTAGCCTGCTATGCTTCGTCTCATTGCATTGCTATACCATTCCCATACCAAGGAGGTGGACCGAATGGATGTGGATGTGATTTAGCATTCGGTAATACGTCGCCAGCGCCCGATTACCCGTTGGACTTTGTGTTTACAGCAGAGACGTAACCTCGATATTATGGGCATTTCACGTGGAGCGGACACCGAAAAAAGTGGGGTTTTAAAATTAGTTCATCTTAGGCCTGTTTGTACATCGAGTAGGAGTGAAAGAGAAAACACGATTTTTCTTTCGTGACACGTTCATTTGCTAAGTTACGAGCTTCGAAAGAGTATTTGAAATTGAGATTTCTTAGATAATTTAATCGATTTGAAAAGTATTATATTGGGATGTGAAAGATAGTAGATTTTCTATACTTTGAGATAAAAAAAAAAATTAAAATTAAAAAAAAGCTGAAGGTACTAAACCAGGAGTAAGTACTTCAAACCAAAATTTTAGAAACTTCGTTTTTTTTTTCGATTTGTATTCCAAAATATATCCCAAGAAGTGTTTAAAATTCGTCAGAAGTTTTGGAATAGTATGCTTATTAATTGAGGAGGTACGCATTTTTATATACATACATGTAAAGTTTTGAAATGGTATGCTTATTATATAATTGAGGAGGTACGCATTTTTATATACATACATGTTCCACTGTACGTTATGTGCTTGTTTAGATCGACTAGTTTGCGATATATTGCATTAATATGCTACTATATGAGCATTTTTTACTCCAATAATTGTTTCAAATATATTCTAACAAAAATGTATAGATTATTTTCTGGAACAGTGAAATTTGAAATTGAACATGGCGCAAAGCCGAAAATAAACGTTTCTGGCTATACTTTGGGTAACTTCTACCACTGTTATCCTGATCTTTTATTCTAAAATATAGCCGAAGCTGTGCTTAAATACACTAAAATTTTAAAATGGGTTGCGCATTCACTAAGTAGAGGTATTTTTATGTACATATTAATGTCGTACTGAGTATGACGTCAGGCGCTTGCTTATGTTGACTGGTCGCATTAATACGCTACTATATGAATATATTTGAGCTTTAATAATAATTTTAAATATGCTTTATTCATAATCATTTGGACAGAAATTATTGTATTCTTAGAAATATTTTACCAGTTTATATGCCTACCAAAAACTGTTACACAGGCATCTTTCAAAGATATATAATTACAAACAAAATTGTATATAATCGATGCTGCCGGTGCTGTCAAC